CCAATTACAGGCCTCTCTCATCTTTTTAAGTGGGAGAACTTGCACAATTGGTGGCTGACTAAATACTTTTTTGCCCCACTGTATATGCAACACTGATGGGCACTGATAGGCAGCATTGACGGAACTGCTAGGCACTGACTGGTGGCACTGCTAGGTGGCACAACTGGGCACCGATCATCAATACCCTGATGATCAGAGCCGATCCCTCCTCTGACAACTGTCGGTTATCGGCAGTACTTTTCCTCAAGCTGTGACAGTGTGTGAGGGAAAGTACAGCAGATAACCAGCAAACTGCATTTACCGGTTATCTGCTGTGTCATTGGACACGGCTGATCACGTGGTAAAAGGTCGCTGTGATTGGCCTTTTACTACATCAAGTCCGTAGGACACAGCGATCACGGAAATTGCCGGGGGGTGCGCGGGAGGGCACGTTCTGGGAGGTTATCATATGACGCCCTCCCAGGAACTGGCCGGCTGCAGTGAAGCCGTCATTCGGCTATCTGCGGTCGGCAAAGTGGTTAATGGGAACTCCCAGGTCACCAGAACTAGTGTCCCCATTGGAAAATGTCCTCAATTATTTTATGGGGACAACCCAAAATTTTGAATTTTCTTTCACTTTCAATGATAACGGTTAACAGGACAAATATAGACGTGAATCTTCCTAACGGGGGCTCAGACAACAATAAAAACTGACAGAGGTTCTAATCCCTCCATACGCTATCCAATACTAAAAAAAAAAAAAATGCCTTTAATTATACTTTTAACTGTTTGCTCATCCAGGCGGGAAAGGAATACTAATTCTAATCCTTTCCAATTACATGAAGACCCCACCTTGTCACTCCAGAAAACAAATCCTAATTATTTCTCACGGAAACCCCTTTTGCTGTACAATGGGGGAGATTTACTAAACTGGAGCTCTCAGAATCTTCTGCAGCTGTGCATGGTGGCCAATCAGCTTCTAATGTCAACTTGTTCAGTTAGTGTTCCTAAACCCACACCAGTACAATCAGTCTGTATATGCAGTGACGCATGCTGGTTATACTCACTGTGGAACCTAAGGGGTTTAATCCACCACACTGTGTAAAAAATGTTTGATCCTGACTTCTCTGATCCTCCCCTTCTTCCAGTGCCCCCCTCTTATCTCCTGATAAAACATATCGCGTGGAGTCACTCTGCACTTGCTCAGTTTGGTGTGCATTGCTAGACAGGTTTTTTTTTTTTTTTCCTTGGGAGAGTGCATGTGATCAGCACAGGGCCAATCAGCAACTGTCCAGACAGAGGTCAGGAGTTCTGCATCCTCCTAGAGCAAAAATGAAAACTCTCCCTACAAGCTTTAACCAGTGCTCTGCTGGACACTGATAGAAGCCACAAGATTGAAACTGGATATAGTGAATGCAGGGTCCGGGGAGAGCGGATATAGTGAATGCAGGTCCGGGGAGACCGATATAGTGAATGCAGGGTCCGGGGAGACCGGATATAGTGAATGCAGGGTCCGGGGAGACCGGATATAGTGAATGGAGGGTCCGGGAGACCGGATATAGTGAATGCAGGGTCCGGGGGAGAGCGGATATAGTGAATGCAGGGTCCGGGGAGAGCGGATATAGTGAATGCAGGGTCCGGGGAGAGCGGATATGGTGAATGCAGGGTCCGGGGAGAGCGGATATGGTGAATGCAGGGTCCGGGGAGAGCGGATATAGTGAATGCAGGGTCCGGGGAGAGCGGATATAGTGAATGCAGGTCCGGGGAGAGCGGATATGGTGAAATGCAGGGTCCCGGGGAGACCGGATATGGTGAATGCAGGGTCCGGGGAGACCGGATATAGTGAATGCAGGGTCCGGGGAGACCGGATATAGTGAATGCAGGGTCCGGGGAGACCAGATATAGTGAATGCAGGGGGTCCGGGGAGACCAGATATAGTGAATGCAGGGTCCGGGGAGACCAGATATAGTGAATGCAGGGTCCGGGGAGACCAGATATAGTGAATGCAGGGTCCGGGGAGACCAGATATAGTGAATGCAGGGTCCGGGGAGACCAGATATAGTGAATGCAGGGTCCGGGGAGACCAGATATAGTGAATGCAGGGTCCGGGGAGACCAGATATAGTGAATGCAGGGTCCGGGGAGACCAGATATAGTGAATGCAGGGTCCGGGGAGACCAGATATAGTGAATGCAGGGTCCGGGGAGACCAGATATAGTGAATGCAGGGTCCGGGGAGACCAGATATAGTGAATGCAGGGTCCGGGGAGACCAGATATAGTGAATGCAGGGTCCGGGGAGACCAGATATAGTGAATGCAGGGTCCGGGGAGACCAGATATAGTGAATGCAGGGTCCGGGGAGACCAGATATAGTGAATGCAGGGTCCGGGGAGACCAGATATAGTGAATGCAGGGTCCGGGGGAGACCAGATATAGTGAATGCAGGGTCCGGGGAGACCAGATATAGTGAATGCAGGGTCCGGGGAGACCAGATATAGTGAATGCAGGGTCCGGGGAGACCAGATATAGTGAATGCAGGGTCCGGGGAGACCAGATATAGTGAATGCAGGGTCCGGGGTAGACCAGATATAGTGAATGCAGGGTCCGGGGAGACCAGATATAGTGAAGTTTAGGAACACTTTAACCTTTGCCAATAAAACCTGGAAGCGGATTAGTTTCTCTACAGAGTTGCGCCAGATTTTGCACCACGCAGTTTTAATAAATCAACCCCACTATATTTATTGTGTAATTATTGCTCTTGCTCCAACGCTCGCAGTGATATCACACATGTGTGGTTTGAACACCATTTACATATGTGGGCATGGCCTACGTATGCATTCACCACTACATGCACAAGGGGGGACAGGGGCACTTTAATGTTTTTTGTTTTTTTCACTGTTCCTTTTAAAAAAAAATTTTAATCACTTTTATTCTTATCACAAGAAATGCATGCATCCCTTGTGAAAGAAATAATTAGTGACAGGTCCTCTTTATGGAGAGAAATGGGGTCAATAAGACCTCAAATCTCTCCTTTGTAATGTAAAGCATTGATTTTAAAAAAAAAATAAATAAATAATAATTGGCCGGAAACCGGAAGTGACATCGCTCCAGTCCTCCAAGGGTATAGAGATGTGTGGCGGCCATCTTTCCTTCACCCATCTCTATGCCCGGTGCCGGGATCGATGGTTTCTCGAGTAAGACTTTACTACCGAGCGGCTTCGAGGTTTTTTCGGCACCTGTATCAGTGCTTTTTTAATTTCAGCCAACAGCCGAAAGGGGTGTTTTGGGCCAAAACGTTTCGGCCAGCGGAATTTCGGTGCATCCCTAGTATATATGTCTATTGTTATCCTTTGTGATTACCTGTAAGTTTGTTTATCTCACAGATGCATGCCAAGCTCCTGAAGAAGCAACTCCAGTCTAGAAACATGTTGGCCCAAATGTAACAGTGGAACCCCCTATATTTTGAAGAAAGTGGGCTGACTATCATCGTTTAATGTCCATATCAGGAATTTGAATCTATATGTTTTGGAGGGATAACTGTAGTTTACGTGCAATGCAAAGTATAAAATTTAAATTACTGAAAACATTTTTTAGATGAGATACCGTATTTGCCGGCGTATAAGACGACCCCCTACTTTTCCTGTTAAAATATAGGGTTTGGGCTATACTCGCCATATAAGACTACCCCTCTTCCAACACACCAAATAAAAATGAAAAAACATCAGATTTGATTTCAATATGGTATTCCAATGATGGGGCACGATTCCTCCCACTGACACCAATGACGGGGCACGATTCCCACCACTGACGGGGCACTATTCCCACCACTGACACCAATGACGGGGCACTATTCCCCCCCACTGACACCAATGACGGGGCACTATTCCTCCCACTGACACCAATGACGGGGCACGATTCCTCCCACTGACACCAATGACGGGGCACGATTCCTCCCACTGACACCAATGACGGGGCACGATTCCTCCCACTGACACCAATGACGGGGCACGATTCCTCCCACTGACACCAATGACGGGGCACGATTCCTCCCACTGACACCAATGACGGGGCACGATTCCTCCCACTGACACCAATGACGGGGCACGATTCCTCCCACTGACACCAATGACGGGGCACGATTCCTCCCACTGACACCAATGACGGGGCACGATTCCTCCCACTGACACCAATGACGTTGCACGATTCCTCCCACTGACACCAATGACGGGGCACGATTCCTCGCTCTGACACCAATGACGGGGCACGATTCCTCGCTCTGACACCAATGACGGGGCACGATTCCTCGCTCTGACACCAATGACGGGGCACGATTCTTCGCTCTGACACCAATGACGGGGCACGATTCCTCGCTCTGACACCAATGACGGGGCACGATTCCTCGCTCTGACACCAATGACGGGGCACGATTCCTCGCTCTGACACCAATGACGGGGCACGATTCCTCGCTCTGACACCAATGACGGGGCACGATTCCTCCCATTGACACCAATGATGGTGCCCCATCATTAGTGTCAGTGTGTGAGGAATCGCGCCCCATCATTGGTGTCCGTGGGAGGAATCGCGCCCGTGTCCGTGGGAGGAATCGCGCCCGTGTCCGTGGGAGGAATCGCGCCCGTGTCCGTGGGAGGAATCGCGCCCGTGTCCGTGGGAGGAATCGCGCCCGTGTCCGTGGGAGGAATCGCGCCCGTGTCCGTGGGAGGAATCGCGCCCGTGTCCGTGGGAGGAATCGCGCCCGTGTCCGTGGGAGGAATCGCGCCCGTGTCCGTGGGAGGAATCGCGCCCGTGTCCGTGGGAGGAATCGCGCCCGTGTCCGTGGGAGGAATCGCGCCCGTGTCCGTGGGAGGAATCGCGCCCGTGTCCGTGGGAGGAATCGCGCCCCATCACTGGTGTCCGTGGGAGGAATCGCGCCCCATCACTGGTGTCCGTGGGAGGAATCGCGCCCCATCACTGGTGTCCGTGGGAGGAATCGCGCCCCATCACTGGTGTCCGTGAATCGCGCCCCATCACTGGTGTCCGTGGGAGGAATCGCGCCCCATCACTGGTGTCCGTGGGAGGAATCGCGCCCCATCACTGGTGTCCGTGGGAGGAATCGCGCCCCATCACTGGTGTCCGTGGGAGGAATCGCGCCCCATCACTGGTGTCCGTGGGAGGAATCGCGCCCCATCACTGGTGTCCGTGGGAGGAATCGCGCCCCATCACTGGTGTCCGTGGGAGGAATCGCGCCCCATCACTGGTGTCCGTGGGAGGAATCGCGCCCCATCACTGGTGTCCGTGGGAGGTGCGCCCATCCGTCGTGGGAGGAATCGCGCCCCATCACTGGTGTCCGTGGGAGGAATCGCGCCCCATCACTGGTGTCCGTGGGAGGAATCGCGCCCCATCACTGGTGTCCGTGGGAGGAATCGCGCCCCATCACTGGTGTCCGTGGGAGGAATCGCGCCCCATCATTGGTGTCCGTGGGAGGAATCGCGCCCCATCATTGGTGTCCGTGGGAGGAATCGCGCCCCATCATTGGTGTCCGTGGGAGGAATCGCGTCCCATCATTGGTATCCGTGGGAGGAATAATGCCCCATCATTAGTATCAGTGACACCAATGATGGGCACTATTCCTCCCACTGACACCAATGACACTTGCCGACTCCTGTTCCAGTATGGTACTGCTGCAGCCAGCATATATGGTTGCAGCAGCACCTCTGCACTGCACACTTACCGGCTTCTCCCTCACTCGATTTTCGCGGGTCCGCTCGGCTCCGCCTCCTCGCCCGTGATTGGCCGCCTGTGTGCCTTTCCTGAGCTACAGTTCTGGCGGCCAATCACCGGTGAGGAGGCAGAGCCCAGCAGCAGGAGGGAGGGAGTGGCCGGAGTGACTGAAGGAGCAGCGCTTCCTGGACTGGATCGTTGTGGGAGCCAGTGCCCCTTCCGTCGGAAGGGGGGGGGGACGGCGGCGGCACCGCGCAGCCCCCCTAAAAAGTGCCGCCCTGACGTATACCGGCGTATAATACGACCCCCGACTTTTGAGAAGATTTTCAAGGGTCAAAAAGTCGTCTTATACGCCGGAAAATACGGTATATGAATAAAGCAATATATGTTTTGGTACCGTGTTTATGTGCATAGAAAGTCCATAACAATTACTCCACACATATTCCGATCTCTGATTCGGGACGTATAAGGCACGATTATACCCACCTGGTGTGACCATCAGCCACCCGATGGTCGCCCAACCTTTTTAACCCAATTGTAGATACAAACCATAATTGACCAAAACACATTAAGCACCAGATTGCAAATCGCAAAACCAACAAAAAGCTACTTCAAACCATACCTGTGACTGGGTGTCATTCTCTCGGAAAGGTTGGGATGGTTTTGTGACTTTTGGTTGTGGAGGAACCTGGATGGCTCCGCTCTTAGGTTTCCCGCCCTTTGGTTCACTAGTTTTGATATTTTCATCTCTCTTCTCCTCTTTGCTCGACATTCTCTCCAAACCAGCGTTCTTGCTCACCTTCTCGCCAGAACTGGGAAGCGGACCAGGAGCCGTGCTTTGAGCGCTGCTCTGCTGTAAGGGTTTTGTCTTGGAGGATGCAGGGAACGTGATGTGAGCGGGGAGTTTGCGTGATGAATGAGGCCTTTTACTGGTAGCGAAAAATGCAGCTCCCACCGTGAGCTTGGGCCTCGGTTTCACTTTTAATCCCAAGATGGCGGTCTTCTGGGGACTGGGGGCACAGATCTCTGTGGTCACTGGTGAGGTGGTCTCCTTTGCCTCTACCTTCTTCTCCATTTTGGGAGATGAGACACCTCGACTAGGAGCCTTCTTTTTAAGACTTGGCGGCTTTTTGGTTTTTGTGAACTTTGAAGACTCTTTCACCTTTGGACTCTTCGTTACATTCCTGGCTGAAGACGAGGAGACCACACCACCCTTGGACTTGGTTTCCTTAATCAGTTTTCTCTCCATCGGGCTCACGTACAAAGCACCTTTTTTATAGAAAGACTTTGCTGGCATCACGGCCTTCTGAGCAGAGGTGGGTGACTTGAGCGGTGGGAAAGGCGTAGGCGTCATTCTCCGAATCCTCCTCTGCTGGAGGAGAGACAACAAGCTTCCTGGCCACGCTGGACTTCGCAGGAGAGGCCACAAAGTTCTCCTTCCCCTTGGGGTCTTCGACAGCCGTGTAGGCCGATGGGGGCGAGCGCTTCATGATGTTGCTCTTATTCGCGTTTCGGGGTTGTAGGGGAGTTAGAACGACACTGCAGTCCACCATTAACTTCTTGATAGGAGTCCCAAACGATGACCAATGTCTGATGACAAGAAACAAAAATCAATGATAGGATTTGTTGGTGGAACACTGGATCCAAAGTGCAACAGATCTATAACCCCCAAAATATATATGTATATAGGCAGCTCTCTGTCAACCATGGTATCCTTAGGGGTCCCCAGGGTAGTCTTCAAAAATGTCGCATGAAATATTGATTTTAACAGGTGCCCTCTTAACCACCTCCCGTCCGGCTGTTGCGATTATAAATGGCCTCCCGGCCCCTGCTCGAAAGCGCGCAGCACCGCGATCCGGTGCCCACAGTGTCCTCCGATCGTTGTACGGGACCTCTGTGTGAGGTCCCGATCATGTGATCGCTGATTGGCCAATCAGTGATCGGCCAATCAGTGATCACATGCAGAGTAGTACGCAATGATGTCACTTGTGACATCATTGCTTACTACGTGTGAAATCTGTGAATGATCACAGAGGTCACATGGTACAAGGCTATTCACAACAGCCTTGTACCATGTGACAAGCTGTGACCAATCACAGCTCTCACAGTATTTCTCAATGTCTGCAAGAATGCAGCTAGAGAGGAGAAATTATTGCTTTTACAGCCTTTATGGGTGTAAAAGCAATCGGTGTAGTAAAAAAAAAAAAAAATCATCACCCCCCACAAGTAGTACAGTGTCACCATGGTGACACTGTACTGCTACGGTGACAGTATGTAAAAAAAAAAACAAATATAAAATTTTTAAACTTTTTTTTTTACATTTTTTATTTTATTTTTTTATAATTTTTGGTTATAAACTAATTTGGGTTTGTTTGTTTTTTACTAAAAAGATAAAAGGAATACATTTTGGCCAAGATTTATGATGAAATATTATTTATTTGCAAAATTTTATAAGAAAACACTTTCTTTCAAAATTTTTGGACTTTTTCATTTACATAGCAAAAAAAAATAAAAATCCCAGTGACAATATGTTTAAAAAAATATATATAAAAAATAAAATATAAATGTAAAAATGTTTTCGAAAAATTATAATTTTTGGTTATAAACTAATTTGGGTTATTTTTTTTTTACTAAAAGATAGAATACATTTTGACCAAGATTTATGAAGAAAGATTATTTATTTGAAAAATTTTATAAGAAAAACATTTTTTTTCAAAATGTTTGGACTTTTTCATTTACATAGCAAAAAAAAAAAAAAGAAGGACATCCCAGTGGTGAATAAATACCACCAAAATAAAGTTTCTTCAATTTAAGCAATGCTTTTACATACATACATACATACATACATACGTGGTGAACCAATATGAAAATTCTGGTGCCGAAACCGAAAATTCAAGATGCACTTGGCCAAAAACAGAAATGGACAATTGTTTAAAATTAATATATTTTTCAAACAAATTTATTTGAAAAAAGAAAAAAAAAAAATACACTTATTAAAAAAAAAAAACATATTCCCCAATTTTGTTTTTGTAAAATATGAAAGATGAGGTTACGCCGACTAAATGGATACCCAACGTCATGCTTTAAAATTGCGCACGCTCGTTGAATGGTGTCAAACTAGGGTACTGTCCATGGGTGACGCTTCAAAAATGTCTACAGGTTAGTAGTGTAAAGTTACAGAGGAGGTCTAGTGCGAGAATTATTGCTCTTGCTCCGACGTTTGTGGCGATAACTCCTGTGGTTTGAGCACCAATGCATGAATCCCCTGTGATAGAAATAATTAGTGACAGGTCCTCTTTATGGAGAGATGTGGGGTCAATAAGACCCCACATCTCTCCTCTACAAAAAAAGAATTTATCTACTGCTTTTTAATTAAAAAAAAAGGCCTCGTTTACAAGGCGCCGGAACCGGAAGTGAGGTAATGATGTCACTCTGCTTCTCCAAGGGCATAGAGAGATGAGTGGAGGCCATCTTTCCTTCACTTATCTCTATGTCCAGCACTGGGATCATTTGATGGTTTCTCAGGTATGGCCGAAAACCACTGAGCGGCGGCAGCGAGGGGCGGGGTTATTTTTGGCACCTGTATCAGTGCTTATTTTCGTATCGGCCAAAGGCCAATAGGGGTGTTTTCGGGTGAAACATTTCGACCACCGAAATTTCGGTACATCTCATATATATCTAGATTTCTATCTATCCCATATCTCTCTATATTTTCATTCTCTCTCATGATGGATGGAGAGGGAGGATGGATGGATGGAGAGGGAGGATGGATGGATGGATGGAGAGGGAGGATGGATGGATGGATGGAGAGGGAGGATGGATGGATGGATGGAGAGGGAGGATGGATGGATGGAGAGGGAGGATGGATAGATGGATAGATAGATAGGAGGATAGATAGATAGATAGGAGGATAGATAGATAGATAGGAGGATAGATAGATAGATAGGAGGATAGATAGATAGATAGGAGGATAGATAGATAGATAGGAGGATAGATAGATAGATAGGAGGATAGATAGATAGATAGGAGGATAGATAGATAGATAGGAGGATAGATAGATAGATAGGAGGATAGATAGATAGATAGGAGGATAGATAGATAGATAGATAGGAGGATAGATAGATAGGAGGATAGATAGATAGGAGGATAGATAGATAGGAGGATAGATAGATAGATAGATAGATAGATAGATAGGAGGATAGATAGATAGATAGATAGATAGGAGGATAGATAGATAGATAGATAGATAGGAGGATAGATAGATAGATAGATAGATAGATAGGAGGATAGATAGATAGATAGATAGATAGGAGGATAGATAGATAGATAGATAGATAGGAGGATAGATAGATAGATAGATAGGAGGATAGATAGATAGATAGGAGGATAGATAGATAGATAGGAGGATAGATAGATAGATAGGAGGATAGATAGATAGATAGGAGGATAGATAGATAGATAGGAGGATAGATAGATAGATAGGAGGATAGATAGATAGATAGGAGGATAGATAGATAGATAGGAGGATAGATAGATAGATAGATAGGAGGATAGATAGATAGGAGGATAGATAGATAGGAGGATAGATAGATAGGAGGATAGATAGATAGATAGATAGATAGATAGATAGGAGGATAGATAGATAGATAGATAGATAGGAGGATAGATAGATAGATAGATAGATAGGAGGATAGATAGATAGATAGATAGATAGGAGGATAGATAGATAGATAGATAGGAGGATAGATAGATAGATAGGAGGATAGATAGATAGATAGGAGGATAGATAGATAGGAGGATAGATAGACAGATAGGAGGATAGATAGATAGATAGATAGATAGATAGATAGATAGATAGGAGGATAGATAGATAGATAGATAGATAGATAGATAGATAGATAGATAGATAGATAGATAGATAGATAGATAGGAGGATAGATAGATAGGAGGATAGATAGATAGATAGGAGGATAGATAGATAGATAGGAGGATAGATAGATAGATAGGAGGATAGATAGATAGGAGGATAGATAGATAGATAGATAGATAGATAGATAGATAGATAGATAGATAGATAGATAGATAGATAGATAGATAGGAGGATAGATAGATAGGAGGATAGATAGATAGGAGGATAGATAGATAGGAGGATAGATAGATAGATAGATAGATAGATAGATAGATAGATAGATAGATAGATAGATAGATAGATAGATAGATAGATAGATAGATAGATAGATAGATAGATAGATTTTTTATCCATCCATCTATATTAGTACATTCACTAACCCTCAGGGAGCATACAATCTAAGGTCCCCAACTCCCATGCAGACATTTACATACTAGGGAGATAGGAGCCAACTAACCTTTACATGCGTTTTTGTGTTTGCAGTGAGAAAAAATGCACCATGCTCTACTTTCTTTTTTTTCCTGCACTGGTGTGAACTATGCCCATAGGATCGCCTTCATTTCGGACTGTCTATGCAGCTGGACCTGGGCGGGAAGGGGCACTGCGCCTGTTGTGAAAATGCCCTAAAGCAATGCTGTACACACATGTGCTTTAACAGGCAGACGCCTCCTTATGATAATAAAGTCTACAGAAGTTTGTATAGATTGTACAGTGTATGGCCAGCTTTAGTCTCCCTGTACATCAGTAGAAGCACATGTGCCCTGACTGCAAATCAAACATGCTGACCCTCCTGGACTGTCCATGGTGGAGATTTACATCCTGAATGATGGTGCACAGTGCCTGACGTGACACAAGTCTGCAAACTTACCAGCCTGTGTGCCACCCACCATGTAGCCTCGCACCCCAGCAGCCCCCCGCGTTGCGCCCCCTCCAGCACCCCCCTGTGTAGCGCCCCCTCCAGCACCCCCCTGTGTAGTGCCCCCTCCAGCACCCCCTGTGTAGTGCCCCCTCCAGCACCCCCCTGTGTCGCGCCCCCCCTGTGTAGTGCCCCCTCCAGCACCTTCTCCCTTCTCTGCACTCACCAGCCTGAAGCATGGGAAGGAGGGAAGGGCCAACATGACTGTAAGGAGGATCTTCACCACAGGCATTCTGGGACTTGTAGTTTCACCTGCTATGTTCGGCACATGATTCTATGAGAGCTGTACTACAATTCCCAGAGTTCCCTGCAGCCTTCTCACGTGAGATCTACTGCCAGCCCCAGAGGCGCCGCACCAACCCTGTGACAGGTGGATGATTTGCCTGTTATTGCAGCATCCACTCAGCACCTAAAGTACTGACCACCCCTAGCTTAACCACTTGCCTACCGGGCACTTATACCCCCTTCCTTACCAGGCCAATTTTCAGCTTTCAGCGCTGCCGCACTTTGATTGACAATTGCGCGGTCATGCAACATTGTACCCATATGAAATTTTGATAATTTTTTTCTCACAAATAGAGCTTTCTTTTAGTGGTATTTAATCGCCACTGGGCGCTTTACTTTTTGCGCTATAAATTAAAAAAAGTGCAAAAAATTTGAAAAAAAAAAAAGTTTATTTGTTTCTTTTATAAAATTTTTCAAACAGGTATTTTTTCTCCTTCACTGATTTGCGTTGATGAGGCGGCACTGATGGGCACTGATAGGCAGCACTAAAGGGCACTGATAGGCAGTACTAATGAGGTGGCACGGATAGGCGGCACTGATAGACAGCACTAATTAGGGGTCACGGATAGGCGGCACTGATATGCAGCACTGATAGGTGACACTGATGATGGGTACTGATAGATGGCACTGACTGGCATCACTTCTGGGCACTGACTGGCGGCACTGACTGGCACAACCCCTGGGCACTGACTGGTGGCACTGACTGGCAGCACTGCTGGGCTGCACTGGTGGGTGGCACTGGTGGGCAGCACTGGTGGGTGGGCTCAGGTGGGTGGCACTGGTGGGCACAGGTGGGTGGCACTGGTGGGCACAGGTGGGTGGCACTGGTGGGCACAGGTGGGTGGCACTGGTGGGTGGCACTGCTGGGCACAGGTAGGTGGCACTGCTGGGCACAGGTGGGGGCACTGCTGGGAACGGGTGGGGGCACTGCTGGGAACGGGTGGGCGGGGCTAGTGGGCGCACTGCTGGGCGGAACTTGCGGGTGTCACTGCTG